ACAACACTCTGCTCCTTTTTGGTCTACTATATACACAGACACACACCAGTGAAAGAGTTTTGTTAGATCTGTTTGAGAAGTGAAAAAAAAATATGCCTGTTGATTTTGCCAGAGATCTTGTGAGCTGGTAACTTCCTATATTCTCTGCCTGCACACCAGAGAGGTTATTGAGATGGATGAGGATAGGTCCATGTCCTAAACCAGTGGTGGCGAACCTTGGCACTCCAGCTGTTTTGGAACTACAAGTCCCATGAGGCATTGCAAGGCTCTGACAGCCACAGACATAACACCCAGAGGCAGATGCATGTTGGGATTTGTAGTTTTGGCACCGCTGGAGTGCCAAGGTTCGCCACCACTGTCCTAAACCAGAAGACAATAAGTAGGCAGGGCTGACACCATCTTCTTAAGAATTCAGAGTGTTGTCATGTCAAATAGGAAAGTAGGAGAATGCTATATTCCTGGCACATCAACAGTTATATTTTTGTATTTGCATCAAGTTTAACGGCATAAAACATGTGGAAATCTGCAGGTATTCCAGAGATACTAAACGTGTTTGTTTTTTTCTAATTTTGCCTTGACATACTCTTTAGGCCCTTTCACACGAGTGGTCCGATAAAGCCTGTCAGTTTTTCAGGTCAGATCTGATCAGAAGCCCAATGTTAGTCTATGGACAGCCAGATCTAAATAGGCCTGCGTCCATTTACCCTCTACTCCAGGGCTCAAAATTTCCACTCGCCCCCCTCGCAAATTGCGAGTGAAAATTGCGTGGGAGCGAGTGGAAATGAAGCCATTGAGTCAGGCACTCCTCGGGGCGGCCTTTCTCCTCAACGACATGATGACAGCGCTCCCTCGTCCGTCCGGGGTCGCAGGAGGGAGCGCTGCCTGCTGTCAGGATTGCCGAGCGGGAGAGAAGCCGCGAGGAGAGAAGCCCCGCTCACAGCTGTCAGGATGGCCGAGCGGCGAGGAGATCGGATAAAAATTAAAAAAATTATTTAAAAAAAGTAAAAACTGCCCCCGCCCCCCCTCACACGCATATTATTAGACATGTGCGAATACAAAAAATGTATTTCAGATGAAATGTATATGTGTAATGCTCTGTGCGTTGTGCTGTGGCTGTATGTGTGTTGTGCTGTGTGCGCGTTGTGCCCTGTGTGTGTTTGTTTGTGTTATGAAGGGCAACTGGTGGTGAGTAACTTCGAAGGCCTGGCTAGTAGCTCAGGACCTGAAACTTTGAGCCCTGCTCTACTCCATCTAGGTCTGGAAAGAATTTTAAAAAAAAACAACACTTCTGCTTTGGTGGACCTGATCGTGACGGATCAGAGGTAACCTGATGTAAGCAGACACATGCCCAATTACATCTGACTGCCCATAGAGCTAACTGGGTTCCGTTTCTTCAGTTTCTACCTCTATCTTGTGATGGAGAAAAATTCTGAGCTGACAAGAGTGACATCCCTTCCGTACTGCTCCCATCAGCAGGGGATCTGTGCATGGATATCCCGCTGATCAGAAAGGACAGCGCCTGTCCAAAAGGGACCTTACTGGTTTCTCACAGCAGAAGATTTGCATATATATATATATATATATATATA